CCAAATAATTAATCAGAGGAGACTTTGTTTGCAAGTGACTAAAATGTGGTTTTAAAAGTCACTTTCTGCTAAAAAGATTAGATTTTATATTGACAAAAAAAATCTTTCTCTTCAGAAAAACTGTCAAGCTCTCGGTGCAAATCTCGTATCTGTTCATAGTAAAGCGGAAAATGATTTCGTGCTGAGTCTGGTGCCTTCTTCTTCCACCAGATTTTGGGCTGGTGCTCATGATGGTGAACAAGTAAGTTAAAGTGTGTGTCCTAAAGAGACCCATTTGTTTGTCTAAATTACAGTAAAGGAAATGTTTCTAATGAAGATGGTTTGACTTAATTAGCTTCTTAAGTCTGACTACAGTAGTGCACTTTTTGTATTCATTCTCTTCACTTATTAGGAAGGACAGTGGTTGTGGAGTGATGGAAGTGTGAGTGGTGACTTTGGCAACTGGTGCTCTGCAGAACCCAATAACGCTGGTGGATCTGAGAACTGTCTGGAGCTCAGCTATAGCTGTGAGAATGCACTTTTAATATAATTTTCAATACTTTGATTTCATATCATATGGTAACATGAACATAACAATCAGAATAACTTATTTGATTATTTCACCCTACAGCTAACCGTTGCTGGAACGATGCGTCCTGTTCAACCCCACTGAGCTATGTGTGTATTATAGATGTATGAGATCATATGCAGTCATCCTGCTCCAGATATACTTTGATTGATTGTGCTATACGTTTACTTTTTCTGATCTTACATTTACAAAAATGTTCTTCTAAAATCAAATCTCTTCTAAACATTAACCTCTTCTCAATATTTTTTCTGTAACGCTCCTCAAATTAATAAAAGCATTGATAAAGCAAATCATCTGCATTGTGGACAATCAAATTAATGTATTTATAATGTAATATATTGCATAGCAAGGTTTGAGGAAATGGTTAGTGGAATGGCATTAAATGAAGTCATCATCAGGGAAGGGGTTAAACCAAGCAACATTTTTGAATCAAATGGCCTATATTATTATAGAGCATATTTTCCACCATTTGTTAAAAACATACTTCTTCAAACTCAATGCCTTCATTGTATCTTCACCAAATCTTTTTTATAAAGCTGGAATTTGGATCAAGCAAACCACCGTCATAGAAGGCCATGTCTTTAAATGCTGACATTAACAAATAATATCTCATAGATACACATTATAGCGATCAAAACCTGATATTGATGGTCCCAAATAGTGTTCAAAAGATGGGATTTTAACATGACTTTAAATATAGCTAATGATTTGGCAGACTTTTTTATTGAAAGGAGTAAAGCAACATAATAACACAGCGTCTGGTTGCAAAGGCAAAATATAACAATTAGCCTACGTCATTACACCTTTTCAAGGCATGTACCCATACATACCAAAACATAAGTACAAATGATAAAAGTAGCATTATTATATTATAAATGCATTAGGGATGTAACGATTCACTCGCAACCGGTTGAAAATCGATAAAAATGTGTGACGGTTCAAGTCGGTTGAAATGTTAAAGGAATCGCGATACACGTTTTAAACAGCAGGGGCGTTTACTGTGTGTTTCCAAAGGCCAATTAATGTCACGTGACCTCCCCGGAGACGCCATCTTTGAAGGCATAAGCTGCTTTACAAAGTTTTACCAGAGAATGTTGTTTTACAAACAAATATTCATTTGTGTTTATAATGTTACGCAAATCATAACGAGACAAAGTGAAAGCAACTGCCATGTGATTGGTTGATTAGATAATAGCATTAATGAGAAATTGAACAGGTGTTCCTAATAATCCTTTAGGTGAGTGTATCTCACTTGTAGTGTTAAAAAAAATATATAAAAATTTCCAAGTACAAAGTTTGTAGTCAGGGAGGTATGCATGTTTTTTTTTTTTTAATCACAGTGATAGGAAACTTCAGGTTTGAAGGGCATGCTTTCCCCCCCCAAGGATGAGAACTAGCTATAAAATCATGTCTGTGTGCAGTAGATTATTTGTGAATACCCGATCTCTTCTCATCTCCAGCAGTCTTTCTTTTTTCTCCCAGTCTCTTTATCTTGCCTTAAGCTTTCATTTTAATTTTTGTAGATATCATTTTTGTCTGTGCCAGTGTAGAAAGCAAACATAGTGCTGTGGCGACCTCTGCTGTTGGTTTTGGGAATTGCAGTTTGGTACCTGAGCTCACTAACTGCCTCATTTGGCAGTCAATTGGAAAAATGACCGTGCCTGAAAAGATCAACCAACTGAGCGACCAGCGAGATTTCTGGCTCTCACAACCTGTAACTTCTTCTTTGAGAAGCTCTTCTGTCCTCCACTCGTTACCTGTATTGGCACCTGTTTGGACCCGTTATCTGTATAAAAGACACCGGTTCACAGCCTCAAATGGTCACTCTCCAAACTCAACCATGGCCAAGACTAAAGAGCTGTCCAAGGACACCAGGAAGAAAATTGTAGACCTGCACCAGCCTGGAAAGAGTGAATCTACAAGCAAGGAGCTTGGTGTGGAAAAAATCAACTGTGGGAGCAATTGTAAGACATACAAAACCACTGATAATCTCCCTCGATCTGGGGCTCCACACAAGATCTCATCCCGCGGGGTGAAAATGATCATAAGAACGGTGAGCAAAAATCCCAAAACAACATGGAGGGACCTGATGAATGACCTGCAGGGAGCTGGGACCAAAGTAACGAAGGCTACCATCAGTAACACACTACACCGAGAGGGACTCTAATCCTGCAGTGCCAGGCGTGTCCCCTGCTTAAGCCAGTACATGTCCAGGCTAGGGGTTGAACCGACTAGTCGACCTTAATGCAATGCCGTGACGCTTTAAGCTTGACGTCGACTAGTCGCGTTGATCATGCGACACTGGATGAGTGCGCTAATTTTGATAGTTTATGGCCGCGTTAAAGACGACAAAAGATGAAGAGCCCAGGGGTCATTGCAGCAAGAAAGCAGCATTGGTACATAAAGCGTATGGGAATACTTTACTAACATAGCACCACTATATTGTTGAAAACGAAAGTAAAAGCATGACGCACGCTCGTTTTACCGGGAAATGTGAGCAGTGTCTTTTAAAATCATTCAAACAGCCTATTTTTTTATATATATATATTTATTTAAACATATTAATGCATCTCTAATTCACCCGCAATCAATTGGAATATTAATTTGCATTACTTAGATCCATCACTAACGTGCAGATGTGAATTTATAGCTTTTTTTTTCTTTTCATCCTAAATAATGATGTAAACAACGGGCTGTTTAGCTTCATCTGGCCACTTCACGTGTTTCTGTGATCTGATCGCTATCCGATCGTGTAGGCTAAATGCCCTCCGAAATGCATTCGAGACGGATTTAAATCCGATCGCTCAAACCACTTCATGAGGAGATCTGGGCTGTAAATTGGTCTCCCAAAAATGCTGAAATTAAACGCGTGAGAGCAGCCTATGCTATTATATTCATGACGAAGCTATAACACGCACCGCAGATGAGCATCTATTCATAAAGCCAACGTACAAACTATCGTAAATCAAAGTGAAAGTAAGTCACAGACGCTTAACAAACAATCATCTTCGTTAAAAGTAAAGAAACAAAATGATCTTACCAGTGCTGTCTCTCTTATTGCGGTCTTTGATTTTGAAATTAGCTGATGATCAATAAAATGCAGCTCATTACTGTTGCTTTCGGTGAAATCTGCATATACTGTAGCGGGTTGTTTGAAAATCGGATTTATATCCATTTTGCGAAAAAACATATTTATGTGACCAGGTGTAAATGAAATCATTTTGATAAATCAGATCAGTAAAAACGCATAGTGTTCATGTGTAAACGGCCCCATTATGAGCTGTCAGCGTCACTTTCTGTTAATTAATTGCAAATTGTGGCATGTTGCAAATCTGTCACATCTCTTGTGTTGTTATGAATGACGTCAGCGACTAGTCGACTCGACTTTGATGTCATAACAGTCGACTTAAAAAAAATCTGAAGTCGTTCAACCCCTAGTCCAGGCCCGTCTGAAGTTTGCCAGAGAGCATATGGCTGATCAAGAAGAGGATTGGAGGGGTGGTGAGGGCGTAGTGGATAAGACGCATGCCTTTGACGTGAAAGACCCGGATTCGAATCCACTGTGAGACACGAATGAATAAAAACAGCCGGTATACGAATGACTGTAATGTGCTATTGAGAACATATACATTTAGTCATTTAGCAGACGCTTTTAGCGACTTACAAATTAGGACTGAATTAAAGCGAGTCATCGTGAAGAGGAAAAAACAACGCGAGAAGTGCTCAAAATACAAAGTGCAGGCTTTTTACAGAGTAGCATACGCCAGACAAGGGAGGATTAAGGGAAAAGGAAAGAGTTTTGCAGAGAAGTACCACCATTGAACAGCTATCTTTTGCTTTTAGAGGATCTCGTGAGTGGAACAGACTAGTAACGCAACTAAAAGTAAGGTTTGAAAAGTATGTAATTTATGTTGGTGCATTACACCAGTGTTTCCAGACTTTATTCATCTCAAAGGAAAGTATGTTTACAGTGTCTGAATCGTTTCCTATCCCCTATACAGTGCACCATGTGCCTTTCACCATCTAAAAAAATAGTAATTGTGTGAACAAATGACTGATTACAGCCACAGCTTCAGCATGTATTTTTAAATTTTTTTTATTTAACAGTCAGACATACAAACAAACATAGTGCACTAGTGAGCAATCTTGTAATTCCATAATTCCAATAGTGTTGATCTATGAGTGAATGTGTGTATGCGTAAACAAAGTAACCATTTATTATTTATTACCATCACCACTTTCACTCTCCACTACCATCATATCGCCAATATTGTATTAGTCGATTTTTATTTCCATCCTTCCTCCTATGTAATAATTTCCATTGTCAACACTGTCTAAAATAAAAGATGGTATAAGAAGATAATATAAGATAACCTTCCCCCACATCTCTTCCCTATCTTCTCCTAAATTATTATTATTAAAAAAAAGCTTCAGCTTCAGCATCTATTAATAATGTAAGGGGCGGAGTTCAGATTCTAGAGCATTTGATTGGACAGGAAATCTGATAAGGCTGACGTGCAGAATGATGTCATCAAAATCATTGAAACTTTTTGGCAGATGTGAAAGACTAAGTTTCGAATATGTGAATTTTGTCATTGTTTTGGAGCTCACTAAGTAATGCTAACATATTCATACTAAAAGCCTTTAATAAATACGTTTGAAAATGCAGTATTATTTGTCTTCGTAACGATTATTAGGGGATGCTGAAATGTTTTGATCAATCATTGGTTTCCAGCACTGAAAAGTTCAAACTCTCCAGTCTCCACAGCCAATGAGATGTGAAGATCTTCATTTGCGGGCGATGTCATAATTGGCCACAAACCAGTCGCACGTCTCCTTCATAGCTGGAAAAAATAAAAGCACTTTTAATGACTGACTACTATTGAAGAACATTTAGTTAATGCTGAAGCGAGAAGTGAAGATTGATCACCTGCTTTGAACGGTGTGAACTTGAAGTCTGGCAGGTATTTGCGTAGTTTGGCGTTACTGGCGGTCTTCTTGAATTGACCGTCTGCTTTACTTGTGTCATACTGAGAGCGGATAGTTAAGGGTTGTGGATAAAATGTAGTTCATGCCAAAAGGACAACTCTGTCATTTACGTAAGGAGTACTTTTTGAAGCTCAACAGCTCAAGAACAATCTGTAAAGTCTCCAAACTGCCTTATTTTGTGTCCCACAGAACAGAGATTGCCGTTCTGTAAAAACTAAAGATTTTCTCCATGAGCATTGAGAAGAGTAATTGTTTGTGAAAGGATACAATCACGTCACCTTTAAAACCCATCGCTTCAACCACAGCGTTCGCAGCATCCTTTATGGACAACTCATCCTCCTCTCCGACTAGAAAGAAATAAAAAAGACAAAGATAAACAAATCAGTTTATTTCTTTCCTTCATGTGACATTCTGTGTTAATTCCCTTCATGTTTAATCAGTTCACATTTATTCACATTTTTTAAGTTTAATAATCACATTATGCCGTATCACAATAACTGTTTTCCATCCCCAAAATAAAGACATGTAAAAATTAGAATTAATAGTTTAGTTATGCTGTTTTAGATCTTGTTTAAGAATTTTTCTGAATCTTAAAAGGATAGTTCACCCAAAAATGAAACTTTGGTTTAGCTTCAGAACATTAATGAGGATGTTTTTTGATGAAATCTGAGAGATTTCTGTCCCTCCATTGACATCTACGCAACTACCACTTTGACACTTCAAAGAGATTGTAGAACTAATCCGTATGAATTAAGCGGTTGAGTACACATTTTCTAAAGAGACACGGTCGATTATATGATGAACAGATTGAATTTAGGCTTTTATTCACATATAAACATTAATCAGCGAACATAAAGACCTCTTGCTAAAGCTCAAACATGAAAGGTAACAAGAGAATGACCCTCATTGGTTCTTGCTGAAGCTCAAACATGATGCGTAACGAGAATGACTCTCATTGGTTCTTGCTGAAGCTCAAACATGATGCGCAACGAGAATGACCCTCATTGGTTCTTGCTGAAGCTCAAACATGAAAGGTAACAAGAGAATGACCCTCATTGGTTCTTGCTGAAGCTCAAACATGATGCGTAACGAGAATGACCCTCATTGGTTCTTGCTGAAGCTCAAACATGATGCGCAACGAGAATGACCCTCATTGGTTCTTGCTGAAGCTCAAACATGATGCGTAACACGAGAATGACCCTCATTGGTTCTTGCTGAAGCTCAAACATGATGCGTAACACGAGAATGACCCTCATTGGTTCTTGCTGAAGCTCAAACATGATGCGTAACGAGAATGACTCTCATTGGTTCTTGCTGAAGCTCAAACATGATGCGCAACGAGAATGACCCTCATTGGTTCTTGCTGAAGCTCAAACATGATGCGTAACGAGAATGACCCTCATTGGTTCTTGCTGAAGCTCAAACATGAAAGGTAACAAGAGAATGACCCTCATTGGTTCTTGCTGAAGCTCAAACATGATGCGTAACGAGAATGACCCTCATTGGTTCTTGCTGAAGCTCAAACATGATGCGCAACGAGAATGACCCTCATTGGTTCTTGCTGAAGCTCAAACATGATGCGTAACACGAGAATGACCCTCATTGGTTCTTGCTGAAGCTCAAACATGATGCGTAACGAGAATGACCCTCATTGGTTCTTGCTGAAGCTCAAACATGATGCGTAACGAGAATGACCCTCATTGGTTCTTGCTGAAGCTCAAACATGATGCGCAACGAGAATGACCCTCATTGGTTCTTGCTAAAGCTCAAAAATGATGCATAACGAGAATGACCCTCATTGGTTCTTGCTAAAGCTCAAACATGATGCGTAACGAGAATGACCCTCATTGGTTCTTGCTAAAGCTCAAAAATGATGCATAACGAGAATGACCCTCATTGGTTCTTGCTAAAGCTCAAACATGATGCGTAACGAGAATGACCCTCATTGGTTCTTGCTGAAGCTCAAACGTGATGCGTAACGAGAATGACCCTCATTGGTTCTTGCTGAAGCTCAAACATGATGCGTAACGAGAATGACCCTCATTGATTCTTGTTGAAGCTCAAACGTGATCCGTAACAAGAGAATGACCCTCATTGGTTCTTGCTGAAGCTCAAACATGATGCGTAACGAGAATGACCCTCATTGATTCTTGTTGAAGCTCAAACGTGATCCGTAACAAGAGAATGACCCTCATTGGTTATTGCTAAAGCTCAAAAATGATGCGTAACGAGAATGACCCTCATTGGTTCTTGCTAAAGCTCAAACATGATGCGTAACGAGAATGACCCTCATTGGTTCTTGCTAAAGCTCAAACATGATGCGTAACGAGAATGACCCTCATTGGTTCTTGCTAAAGCTCAAACATGATGCATAACGAGAATGACCCTCATTGGTTCTTGCTGAAGCTCAAACATGATGCGTAACGAGAATGACCCTCATTGGTTCTTGCTGAAGCTCAAACATGATGCGTAACGAGAATGACCCTCATTGGTTCTTGCTGAAGCTCAAACATGATGCATAACGAGAATGACCCTCATTGGTTCTTGCTGAAGCTCAAACATGATGCGTAACGAGAATGACCCTCATTGGTTCTTGCTGAAGCTCAAACATGATGCGTAACGAGAATGACCCTCATTGGTTCTTGCTGAAGCTCAAACATGATGCGTAACGAGAATGACCCTCATTGATTCTTGTTGAAGCTCAAACGTGATCCGTAACAAGAGAATGACCCTCATTGGTTATTGCTAAAGCTCAAAAATGATGCGTAACGAGAATGACCCTCATTGGTTCTTGCTAAAGCTCAAACATGATGCGTAACGAGAATGACCCTCATTGGTTCTTGCTAAAGCTCAAACATGATGCGTAACAAGAGAATGACCCTTATTGGTTCTTGCTGAAGCTCAAACATGATGCGTAACGAGAATGACCCTCATTGGTTCTTGCTGAAGCTCAAACATGATGCGTAACGAGAATGACCCTCATTGGTTCTTGCTGAAGCTCAAACATGATGCGCAACGAGAATGACCCTCATTGGTTCTTGCTGAAGCTCAAACATGATGCGTAACGAGAATGACCCTCATTGGTTCTTGCTGAAGCTCAAACATGATGCGTAACGAGAATGACCCTCATTGGTTCTTGCTAAAGCTCAAACATGATGCGTAACGAGAATGACCCTCATTGGTTCTTGCTGAAGCTCAAACATGATGCGTAACGAGAATGACCCTCATTGGTTCTTGCTAAAGCTCAAAAATGATGCATAACGAGAATGACCCTCATTGGTTCTTGCTAAAGCTCAAACATGATGCGTAACGAGAATGACCCTCATTGGTTCTTGCTGAAGCTCAAACGTGATGCGTAACGAGAATGACCCTCATTGGTTCTTGCTGAAGCTCAAACATGATGCGTAACGAGAATGACCCTCATTGGTTCTTGCTGAAGCTCAAACATGATCCGTAACAAGAGAATGACCCTCATTGGTTCTTGCTAAAGCTCAAAAATGATGCGTAACGAGAATGACCCTCATTGGTTCTTGCTGAAGCTCAAACGTGATGCGTAACGAGAATGACCCTCATTGGTTCTTGCTGAAGCTCAAACATGATGCGTAACGAGAATGACCCTCATTGATTCTTGTTGAAGCTCAAACGTGATCCGTAACAAGAGAATGACCCTCATTGGTTATTGCTAAAGCTCAAAAATGATGCGTAACGAGAATGACCCTCATTGGTTCTTGCTAAAGCTCAAACATGATGCGTAACGAGAATGACCCTCATTGGTTCTTGCTGAAGCTCAAACATGATGCGTAACGAGAATGACCCTCATTGGTTCTTGCTGAAGCTCAAACATGATGCGTAACACGAGAACATGAGGCTGGAGCTTCTATTGATGTTTATATGTGAACAAAAGCCTAAATTCAATCTGTTCATCATATCAAGCAATCGTTTCTGTTCAGTAAATTTTGGAGTCAACCATTGAATTCATACGGATTAGTTTTACGATTTTTTGCAGCGTCAAAGTGGTAGTTGCGTAGCTGTCAATAGAGGGACATCAAAATTATCTTCATTTATGTTCCGAAAACGAACTAAAGTCTTAAGGGTTTGGAACGACATAAGGGTGAGTAAATAATAGAAGAATTTTCATTCATGAGTGAACTAACTCACTAAATTTGACACGGGTCGAGTACCTGACAGAATGATGGGCTCCACCTCGTTATACTCCCTCAAAACCCACAGAAACAGACGAGCCAGATCCAGAGAGTAGATGAACTGCCGTAGAGGACGACCTGAACCCCAGACCTGCAGAGGTTGACCTTCCTCTACAAAACACACAAAACACATTGGACACAGAAGTATTGCATGGCTTTTGATTGAAATGTAACATCCATGCAAAATAATCCTTCACTCTTAGAAAAAAGGGTTCATTGGGGTTCTCATTTTAGGGTCTTGATGTGTCAATAATATGAAATATTTATTTCGGAAAGGACAAAACAAATGATAATGAATGAACCCAAAAGGTTCCATATAGAACCATTTTCCTGGTTACAAAGAACCCTAGAGGGTTCTTATAAATGAACCCTTAAAAAAGGGTTCTGTATAGAATCTTTTAGGGGTTCCAAATACTTAGCGCTGATGGAACCTTTTAAGGTTCAATATACAACCTTTTCTTCTAAGAGTGAACAATCATTTCTAATTTAAGCACATTCCCGTTTGAAATATGTGATTTTGTGTTTTGTCAACTATAAGCATAAACATTCTGACCTATCATTTTGGGTTCATCACACTGGCATATGCTCAAGTGTTTGTTTTTCCAATATGTTTGGTTTTAGTTAGTTATTTAATGCTATAAAAATGATGCTTTTTTGGTAACAGCCACTAGTTGGCGCTTCGGTAGCGCGGCTGCCATTTTGGGATGAAAATTCCAACTGGAGTTATCAGTTACTGGAAACAGCACAGCTTTTTGAGGTAGTTTTTTCTTGCATTAGTGAGTATTTCCATTTTATGCAACTGTACACCTTTACTACTGTGATAAGGTGACGGTTGTAATCACTATAGTATTTACGGTAGCTTTGTGATAGGGTGAATACGGTAGTTTCCGGTCCGATGTTCCCTTTATAAATGGAGTAGCGTTAGTTCAGTAGTAATGGCAGTGCGCACACTGAATAGACAACGGCAGATAGGCTGCTGAGATTTGTCTTTTGAGACTGTGAGTATGTGCCTAAATTGCAAAATAGTAGTTGTAAGCTGTAGCGACGCATGCGCGAGAACTGAACTGAAGTAGTTGGAGGAGATCGCAATTCTTGCGCGTACGTCGTGGAAATCTCTTGAACTCTCGTCTCAGGCCTACAAGGAAGAAAAGGAATAGTCGAATAAAGTCGTTATTTTTGTTTGTTTGTTCGCACAAAAAGTATTCTCGTCGCTTGATAAACTTATACTTGAGCCGCTGTTGTCACATGGAATATTTAAACATTTTCTTCATTGACTTTCTGGGCTGTCAAGTTTCGATCCCTATGTAGCCTGTGTCAAATTTAATCAAAAATATCTTCATTTGTGTTCCGAAGACGAACGAAGGTCTTACGGGGTTGGTACAGCATGGGGGTGAGTAATTAATAACTTATTTTTCATTTTGGGTGAACTATCCCTTTAATGTGCACCATAGATGGGCTTTACACTACTATTATTAGTTACCAACTCCACTAGGCCTGAAATATATTTTGTACATTTTAATCCCCTGGATCATGCTACAAACATGATGATCTTATAGAACACGATGCATTGCTGTGTCCGTTATCCTATAACTTTAATTGCCACTTTGGACAGTGGCTGTTTTTTTTGTTTTTTTTACATAGTCTTGCTTTAAAGGGTAACTAAATGGTCAGAGCCTGACTCCACCCACTGGCAATATTTGAAAATGCCGAAAAAGTGGGCAGACCCCAGCGGAGATAGAGGGGACGAAATAGATGCTAAAACACTCAATCCTGATCATTTTCAATACTCAAAATTCCAACTCCTGACTCCCTACAGTGGTTTTGACGACACAAGATGGTTTTTATACTCGCGTGGTGAGCTGAAACCTGCGTACGTCACGAAATGCGGAACATCCAATAGGAAAATTCAACTGCAGTAGCCACCGTTCAACCTGAAGAGGGCAGCACTAAGACGTTTTTACACCATATATTGTAGAAATAAAACACTTTATAAACAAATGTCAAAAAAGCTACTTGAATCAATGACTGGTATTAATGAAGTTACAGATCATTAACTAAAAAAAGTTGGTTTAGTGTTTAGTTACTCTTTAATGGTCATTGATATAGACCATTTCACAAGATGTAAACAACACTGGTCCAGAAGCAGAAGTGTTTCAGTTTTTTAACACTACATAAAAGCTGGGATAAAATACAACCAACAGAACATTTAAAACTGAATCAAAAAGTTAAACAAACATCTATAAGATGTTTTCTTTACATGTGAAATAAAGAAAACAGTTACAAACTGAAACAGGAAGTGCTTCTGGACCAGTGTTGTTTACATCTTGTGAAATGGTCTATAAGATAATACTGAAAAAAACAGTTTACTGTAAAGCTATTCTATATTTATTGTCCAACATTTACATCTTAGTACAATTACATTTATTTGCTGAATTCGTTTATTTCATTGATAACTGAACGTAATATAATTAATTAAATCCTCGAACTTCCCTGTCTGAAGTTATGTGGGGGGAAAAGCCTGGTTAAGTAGCAACTTCTTTTTAACTGCTATAACGTTAACTGTTGTGAGTTAAAATAATCACCTAATTATTTCAACCTAAAAATGACCTCTGCACTGGACTAAATATATGTATAGTATGACTTCCGAGTCGCTTTCACCCCAAAATGGCGGATGCGTAGGGCTGTTGCAATGGAACGTTCTGTTGGCTTTCACTTCTTGTCAATACGTTCTTCAGCTCACATCAGGATCACTATTACTCAGACTCAAATGATGTAACAGTGCACAATGTCAACTGCCATTTCTGGGATATTTTGGCTTCATTTTTCCATGCTCTGGATCCTTGCAGAAAGTTAAAAGCGTCTCACTCTTTGCAAAGTAAGTCTTGTGGATCAATCCTGGAAGCACGTGACCGTCCTCAATGTTAAAGTTGTCATGGGGTCCAAACACATTGGTGGGGATGACGGCTGTGTATCTCCGACCGTACTTCTCAAAACACGACCTAATGGACAAACGTACAATGATTTGTTTCTTTCATTTATGAAAGCTATAAACAACCATTTCATACCCAAATCAAATGAGACATTTATTTTGACTTTATTCTCATGACAATCGCACACATTCTCATCACGGTCATAAAAATAGTAACTTTTTTTCAAAATGTGACAGACAGGCTTTCATGTGATAGATCCAAAACAGCTCATGACCTATGAACTTTGACACTGACCTGTTGTGGACATCAATCATGCGTTTGGCGTAGGCATAACCGAAATTAGACTCATGTGGCGGACCGTTGTGAATCTGAAACGGAGCGAGAGAGAAACACGTCTGTATGGATAGACAATACCAAACAAAAAGTGTCCAATCATCATCTCCCTCAAATCCTAACACAATTGCAAACATGATATAAAACACCACTCCGCCTTTTTTCATTTTCATTTCAAGCGATCTTAAGGTTCAGGCAACGCATATTGATTATATTTACTGCATGTATAGCCTATTTACTATAACAAAACGAAATATAAAACACAACCCTGCTTGTTTTCGTTTAAATTGAAAAAATATTAAACATGTTAGGCAATATGTGCATTTGTACTTCTTAATCTTCACTATAATACTCTTTTTTTGTTATATTTCAGTTTTATCAATAATAGCCATTATAAAAGTATAAGTAAAGGGTACAAGAAGCCGACGTTCATACCGCTGCCGACTTCAGCTTCCAAAGCGTCCGGAAGTCATTCATTTTTAATGGAAGCTGGCTTATCTCAGCTGAAAGGAGCATCAAATCCATCGGCGTCGCGTTTTAGGCGTTTTGGGCGTTTTGAGCATTTTGAGCGTCAATCAGAAAGTTGAAAGAAGCTCAACCTTACGGTAATGAGCTGTGACGCGGTTCAGCGGCAAAACCCTAGCAACCAATCAGAATATAGACGTCCTTCACGCCGGCTGATTCCGGAGAAACATACGATGTAAACTTTCGTTCCTACCAAAATGGAAGAGAAGCTAATAATCGCCGCTGCTGTGTTTCCTACTGGTTTCGTATCATTTATGACATGACGTTGTTTGCTTATAGGGACCGCATGAGGGCAACTTTTATTTGAAATATTTACGAACGCTCGTTTTAAAGCGGGAATGCAATTAATTTGCTCAGGGTGACACCGATTTGACAGCAAATAATAATAATAATAATAATAATAATAATAGCTAACTATTTTTTTCCTGACCAAATGTGACCAAAACGGTTATAAAAATGCTGTCATTATAAAAGGTTTTTTTTTTCTGTTTATTACATTTCATGTCGTGACACTTTCAAAGCGTCATTTGACAAGCGTTCTTGAAAGAGCGGCCAGAGCTTTGTCGGTGTGAACGTACAGTGACTCTTACATCCAACAACACACCTGGCTTTCTTAATAGGAAACAGACGTTTTTCTTATCATTACAGCTTCTCCAGCAGGTAGAAAATGGCAGATTGTGTACAGCCCACTGTGGGCGGGACTATGCTAATAGGGCAGAGTCTGTCAGCAGTCGTGGGCGGGGCCTAGATATTTTGTGATGTCACAAAAGGTAGAATCCGCAAATGGCTTGTTTTGAGACACTGCTTATGATTTATGGCGATTAAAGGAGATGGTGGACGGGTTTTACCATTATAGGGTGGTTGTGTACACACTGCTGACACACATTTATGTTCAAAGTGAATTTTGCTTAAACGTTCCCGTCACAGTGACCGCTTTTGTAACATTTATTCAAAGAGAGTGTGTGTGTGTGTGTGTGAGAGAGAGATTACCATGGTCTCATCTATCGGGTAGGTGGTTTTATCAGGGAATACACACGTGGACAGGCAAGAAACGACCTTCACCACCCCGAACTCATGAGCCGTCTGCAGCACGTTGTCATTGACAAATACATTATTCCTCTGAAAACAACAAACAAATACAGTCAATGTACAGTCCACTCATTCAACAGTGATATTTCCAAGCTTTTATTGCATATTTCCAATGTTATTTGATAATTATTGATACTAATTACCCAGAAGTCCAGGTTCTGTCTCATGTTTTTGTAGAGCCCGCCCACCATGGCGGCCAAATGAATGACGTGTGTCGGACGATGCTTCTGGAAGACTGATCTCGTCTCCTCAGCGCTCCTGAAACACCACATGTAAATACAGTTAGCATGCAATACAAATACACAATGAGCAATTAAATTAATCTTTCTAAAATTCAGAGAAACAAATGAATTTATACATTAGCACAACAGTTTTAGTCTGAGGGCCACAGTTTCTTTGGCAAAGTAAACGGAGGGCCACAATTGCAATTAAACATAATGGTACAAATGAATTAAATGCAAATATGTATAAGGCTACTCTACAGTTATTGACAGCTACTAACTGGATTTACTTTCAAGGATTCATTCCCTACACTACCCTGCATATTGTTCAACTGTCATTCATACCAGCTGTAGCTATTCAAGATGGAATACTATCAACAAAACTGCAAATACATGTTTGTGCAAATATCTTAACATACAGATACAGACTTCAGGCAATCTGGCTTGGAATTATCCAATTTAATTGAGGCTATATACCACCAGAGGGATAGCCTGACTTCGTCATACTCATTTTCTAGTCAGAATATGAGTCTGATACCGCTCCATAGGGCTTTGATCATGAGGCGTGTCGTAACCGAACCAGGAAAAAAAAACTCTGCACTCAACTGGATAGTCGGTAGATCTACAACCAACCAAAGAGCAATACTTTGCATACAGTTGTCACTACAAACCTGACTTATTTTAGAAGTAAAATAACGAGTGTTGCTTCTTTTACTTGGTCCTCCATGAGTGCGACCAAAGGAGAAACCACAACGACCACAGGGTTTTCATTACGTCCCATCTTCTTAGCGACCGTCAGAGCCAGCCGATAAGTTACACTTTTGTTGGAAGAACGGCAAAAATATCTTTCCGATCGACAGTTTTCTGTTCGTCTATTAAAACGAATGCGCTGTTGATTTATTTCACAACAGACGCAACAGTGGAATCTATACATCTCAATTCTCCAGCTGCAGTCATCTCTGAGGGAAACCAGTTTAGCGCTCTTTGATAACGTGATGATTACGTCCTTGCAGATCATCTGTCCATCATCGTATAAAGCCCGCCCTGGCAATTTGATTGGCCTGATCATTTTTTTCCCTGATCATAATTTCTCCTCAATGGATCGAGTCCAGACCGAACTTCCCGACCAAAAAAATGTTGTGGGCCGGGTTCGGCTGGCATCCAGGCTACCAGAGGGAGACCTTAATCACTGAATAAAAAACATATTCAGCTGATTATTCATTTTCACATATTTTGTTCAAATCTTTTATAAAATAGAACACAATTTAAAGGGTTAGTTCACCCAAAAATGAAAATTCTGTCAGTATTTACTCACCCTCATGTTGTTCCAACCCCGTAAGACCTTCGTTCATCTTCGCAACACAAATTAAGATATTTAAGATATTAAGATCACTCCTGCATACAGTCCATAGTCATTAAAGACATCGTTAAAATAGTCCAAGTGACTACAGGGGCTCAATCTTAAGTTTATCAAACGACGAGAACACTTTTTGTGCGCAAAAACAACAAAAATAACGACTTTATTTTAACTATTGGTTTATTTCTCCCTCTGCGCGAGTCAGGTTACTAGTTTAATAGCGTAAGCTTCTGTTATTGTACGTCACACGCATCACACACACATGACCAGCGTCGGCCAATGGTGAGCCTACGTGTGACGTAGCTCTACGCAATCACACTACGTTAACTGACTACAGGCCCATGGAGAAGGAAGTGATTAGTTGAAATAAAGTCGTTATTTTTGTTTGTTTTTGCGCACAAAAAGTATTCTCGTCGTTTGATAAAGTTAAAATTGAGCCACTGTCGTCACTTGGACTATTTTAACGATGTCTTTAATGACTTTTCGATGCCAGCAAGAGTCATTCCCTCAAGAAGCCTATGGACTAGTATGCAGGAGCGATCTTAATATCTTAAATATCTTAATTTGTGTCCCGAAGATGAACGAAGGTCTTACGGGGTTGGAGCAACATGAGGGTGAGTAAATACTGACAGAATTTTCATTTTTGGGTGAACTAACCCTTTAAGTGCAGATCGACTTCACACATATGTTTGCTTGAAAGATATAAAGGACAACAGGGAATAGGCCTATGCATCTCACAAAATTGAAATTTGATTATTTAGCCGTCTCATAACCATCTACGTGGGACATGCATAAGAAATGGCAACATGAAACTGAACAATGTCGTAAAAATAACACCATCAAGGGTAACTTAATGGAACTTTGGCTACACTCTTAGAAGAAAAGGTTCGTATTTGGAACCCCTAAAAGATTCTATACAGAACCCTTTCTTTGTAACCAGGAAAAAGGTTCTATATGGAACCTTTTGGGTTCATTCATTATCATTTGTTTTGTCCTTTTATTAAAATAACGTACTTTACTGCAACTTTAATGATGTGTTTTTATAGTAGCCTATAATATGCAAAGTACAATGTTCTGTTTTCTAAATAATCTCTGATTCTGTCCTTTTTCTCTGACATTTTAAGAGTGACATAGGGCTAGAAAAGCTGTCTATAACAGTTTGGATAGTTGTTAATATGAGAGCTGTTCGAAATGATTTAAGAGATAGCCTAAGTATTGTGTTACTACACAAGTATCTCTCTGACCCTTTCACTTTTAAAAACTCGTTTCGTGACAAAGCATAGTTTAACAAGTCATAACTAAAAGTGTGCCATGCATATACAAATAATTCAAGGCAGTAACCGATGTGCTAATGGTTCCTCCCTTGAAAGTTAGATTAATCTAGCAAAATAACTGGATTCTATTAACTGTGTCTTTGAACGGCATGTGATTTTATTGTTGGGTTGTTTTTTGCTCGAAGGTGGTCTCGCCCTGGGTGTAATTCAAAGTAGGACCGCCACTGTTGGTAAAAATATTCTGCCTGGCAGTTAAGATGGAGGACAATCTCTTGGCTTTTTCTTCCCTCTCCTTTGCGGAGAAATTCACGGCATAATTGGCATGTTTAGCATTGAAGTCCCAGCTAATATTATATGAAATAAAGACAGAGATGCTCTCCTGACACCTTTGAGCCGAAGATCGTGACGTCCATTCTTTATTGAATCCTCGACATTCAGAGTCAACTTTTCTCTTTTTTGCTGCACTCATTTTGACAAATTGTTTATGCCGCTGGACGTTTAGAATTTGTTCCTTTGAGGAATAAAGTTGTAATTTCACACGGCGACATCTGATGGATTGTTTTTCATAGCAGGGTTGCAGTTCAGATAAAGGCGGTGTGTGTGATATTTCTAATGATTTGACTGTGTTTAACTGGTGTGACGTTTAATGAGTGTTTTTTCGGGATCTCTTACATGAGATTGGCATCTTTGGATGAGAGGAATATCCATTCTTCTCCTTCTCTCCCTTCGCCCTCTTTCACCACTCGCTCTATCGCTCGCCCCACCAGCCCACTGCCACCCGTCACCAACACACGCATCGGCCCGTCCATCTGAAAGAGAGAGAGAGATGAGGTCCGATGAACACTTCAGGGGTTAAAGGGATAGTTCACTTTGAAATAAATTTTTGATATGTTTTATCTTACCTCAAGGGCATCCAAGATGTAGGTGTCTTTGTTTCCGCAGTATTTTCAATTTTGACATTTTTCAGTCAAACCGTTGTTGTCTATCAGTCATACACTGGAGGCTAAGGGGGTCAACCAAAGAGCAGCACAGAGAAGTCCAAATTAAACATGATTTAATGACTCGTAAATGTAAGTACACATTGATGGCCTAAGACACGAAACGAGCGGTTTGTGTGAGAAAACCAACAGTATTTATATCGTTTTACCTCGTGTAATCATCGCCATGACAAAATGATCTGACGGCACGGGCGCTTCGGTCTGGAAGTGATGGCTTGCGCGTCTATAGGTCACTCTTTGTTTATACAGAGATTTCGGAAGTTTTACCTTTCACTAAACATATTTAGATATTCGGGAAACCGCAATGGAAGACGATTTCGGTATATCTAGATATGTTTAGTGAAAGGTAAAACTTCCGAAATCTCCGTGTAAATATTGAGTGACGTCACACGCAAACTCCTGAGCCGATCAAATGACCGATCCTGAGCCGCAAACTCCGATCACTTCCGGCGTAACATTGAACTGATTCAGTTCGGTTCAGTTGGACATTGAACAACTGATTCAGATCACTGTGATTACACAAGGTAAAAACGATATAAATACTGTTGGTTTTCTCACACAAACCGCTCGTTTCGTGTCTTAGGCCATCAATGTGTACTTACATTTACGAGTCATTAAATCATGTTTAATTTGGACTTCTCTGTGCTGCTCTTTGGTTGACCCCCTTAGCCTCCAGTGTATGACTGATAGACAACAACGGTTTGACTGAAAAATGTCAAAATTGAAAATACTGTGGAAACAAAGACACCTATCCAGTGTTATTTTACATTGGATTACTTTATTCAGTTTCTGTAGTATTTCTGACATACCAAAAAAAAAACTACTCCAAAATGTCTCTTTATTTGTGTCTTTATTTTATTGTATTTATTTGTGCTACTTTTTTCAATTTAATTCAAAGATTGAAATCAAGCTTCCACAAACTCTTAATAAAAAAAATACATAAACATTTAGGAAAGATCAATGTAATAAAAAAAATGTCTAAATATTTATTTATCTATATCTATCTTAAACATAAAATAACCTGATCCTGTTTGATCAAGCTGTGCGACTGTTCTGACTTTTTTTGCATCTTGCATGAAAATCCTGTCTATTCATTGTATGCATTTAGTGCATAGTGCACCTAAAATAAAAAGAGTTTTATATACAGGTTTGTGGCTCTTAATTTCTTTGTAGTAGTTAACCACTAGTAAACTTATGTCCACTGTTCTTTTTTCATAAATATAGGCTTTGCATTACGTCTATATTCATTATAGTCGAATCGAGAATCAAATAAGGAATCGAAATCGAATTGTGAATCGAATCGATCTGAGAGCTTTCGAATCGAAATCGAATCAAAATTGAACATGTGAATCGATACCCAGCCCTAAAATCTCCGTCCCCACCAATTTCAAAATCAAACCTACGCCACTGATTTTACGTTTATTTCACCTGTGCGTTATCTGTTACTGCATTTAATTTGTGCAAGTGAGATGAGTAAAGAGCTATAGCTATATTAAATTGTTTATAGTACAACCTACAGTTAAAAATATAAATGTAAAATATGTGATAACATTGATTAAACAATTGGTGTAAGTGAAAATATAAATGCGCAGAATTAAGAAAATAGTCTTTATTTAACAACTCTAATCGTAGTTGTAACTCTATGTTTACAGTAGGCATAATTGTCATTGCATATGTATATGCTAGAGCCCGACCGATAAAGGATTTTGAAGGCCGATACCGATACAAATATTTTTGGGTTTTAAAACCCGATATTCCGATATATCGGCCGATATTTTATTTATTTATTTGAAACTAGACATGATTGTCACAAATTCTGTCCTGCTTATTTGAGTTAAGAGAACTGATGGGGATGTTCTTTAAATTGTTATTCAAGCAATGTATGTATCGTGACCAACTCAACGAGTGTTGCCAACAGGGACGGTGTAGAGCGCCCTCTGGTGGACAAACTATACAACTCCAACACTCATGACATGGTTCAAGTGTGTTGCGTCTGTTTTTATTTTATTTTTGAAATATTAATTTATCGGCCATTATAACTGCCGATACCGATAGTTTGGAAAATGCCTAATATCGGCCGATAATATCGGTCTGCCGATATATCGGTCTGGCTCTAGTATGCAGTCCAATTCTTCTGTTCGTGAATAGTTGTGTTTCACTCATTAATCTGACTATGCATCCGTGTATTTAATTGGCATTGGCTCGTAGGGGTGGGCGATATAGCCTAAAAATTATATCACGATATTTCAAGAATATTTGCGATAATGATATTTATCACGATATAGAAAAAATATATATGAAACAATGTTTTATTGGTGATTGCAGCTGGCTGGCAGCAGCATTAGTGCAAAAAAAAGTATAACATAACTCCTTATCATTTTATTTTAACAATAACTACAGTAATACATTAACAATATTAACAATCACTTTAGAAGCCTGCACAATATTGTCACCTAATAAAATTAACCTAAACTTTGAAGTACAAAAAATTTAAACAAACAGCGGCAATCCAAACAAACCTTCAAAATGTAACAGTTGCCTTGCATAGTTTTTGGATTAGCATCAAATGAGGTATACAATACCTAATTTATACAATAATTGTATAAAATCGGAACATTTAGGGAAAAAAAACATTTAGTGGGGAATAAATAAGAGACAATTGTAACACTAAATCTGGTAAAACTTTACACATTGCTCTTTGTATTGTACATTCATGAAAAAAAACAAGGTAACAAATCAAAAGGATTAATTATTATATAGCCTAGTCTACTATAAAATTGAGGCATGTTTAAAATGAATAGCACAGCTGTTTAATGAGGCAGCAACATATGATCGATAGGACAGAACAAAGGCTATTAATAATCTTTCATTGCGCAAAAGTATTATGATATGAAAGGCTCCAATATATCGCACAGCGCTTATGCGCATCCCGAGCGCTGAATGATGCGCTTGAAGCAACACGGAGTCACAGTGCGTCGAATACTCCGCACTGAACAGTTCAAAGCACAAAGTAAATAAATATTGATGTGTAGCGTCGTGTATAATATACAGCATCTAGCTATGCAATCGTTTATTGAGTCCTTTCTTTTAACAGTTTTACATTTCAGTTACTGTGCGCGTGATGAACAATAGTGCTCTGACTCTAGTGACAGACACCCGGCCGGTAGAAAGTAACATGATGATTTAGTTAACGTTACAGCAATAAAGTCCAGCAAGATAAAGTTGTTTTATGCGAAAGCATAGAACTTTTATTTAGAAATATAATAATAGTAACATTGAATCATCTTAGAAAGAGTTTAATCGTGTTGACTGTTGTACCCGAACTGCGGAAACTCTGAAGGAAGATTAGGCGAATGCAAAATGTACGCTAGTAGGGAAGTGGTGAAACGAGTTTTCATGCATATTTGACAAAAAAAAAAAATAATAATTGTGTTGTTGGAGATCTGACCTCTTGTACTCAAACAACTTCCATACTATTGAAGTAGCGCCCTTTTTAGGAACTAAATCTTGATCTGATCCGGAGGCTGACATGCTGCTGTGTTGTTGTGCACGCGCTAAGTAACGTAAATACGCCATACGTCATCATATCATCAATATCGTGATATGACAATTTTTTATCATGTAAAATTTTATACCGGTATTATCGTGGACGGTATGATATGGCACAGCCCTATCCACGACAGAACATTGATGTTTTCAAGAGACATTACCGGCTGTCGTTGAAACAATAGAGGATGTACAGATCACCGAGGGCGGGGTCTAGGCCACAACCACACTGTCAATCAAACCCCTTTCTCACAAAGAGCTGAATCTTAGAACAGTTCGTTCTGGGACAGTGCAGATGTTTTATTGAGATTGTAAAAAAAAAACCACTGGGTGGATTTTTATCATTCTAGGGTGGTTTTGCTCACACACTGCCAACACACATTTATGTTCAAACACCATGTAAAAGTGAATTTTCCATAATAGGTGCCCTTTAAGTTGTTGTTGGCGTAGTATCATACAGCATTTGTTACATTTTTTTGACCATGAGAATTGAAATATATACTTCTCCTATGAGCACACAACGATCTTTTGATATTTCAGAGGAAAAAACAAATTTTATTTAAATGAATAATTTTTTTTTTCAGTCTATCATATAATTGTTGTGTATGGTCTATGAAAAAAATGTTGGTAGAGTATTAAAAATGATTTTCAATTAAATCATATGTTCAAATGTTCAAGCTTTGTTTTCCTTGTTTTTAGGGCCCGAGCACTAACAGTGCGAGGACCCTATTGAAACTGTTAGGATTATTTTTTTTCTTTTTTTATTTTTTCTTTTTTCTGCAAAGTAAGTGCCATTTTCGGGGCCGCAACATGCTCAAAAACTCACCAAATTTGGCACGCATGTCAGGACTGGTGAAAAATTTCGTATTTTGTGGGTTTCGCAGATGGGCGGGGCAAAATGGCACGCTAGCGCCACCTAGAAAATTGGAAAAAATTAGCCCCTCGTCCACGTTCAACCTACATGCACGAAATTTGGTGGGGACGTGTATCATATCAAGACGCACAAAAAAGCCTCAAGAACCCATACCCTAAACTCGACAGGAGGTCCGCCATTTTGAATTTGGCGTCCATTTTTGGACGATTTACAGACTCCGTACTTTAACGAACTCCTCCTAGGGATTTAGTCGGATCGACTTAAAATTTCTGCTGTGCCTTCTAAAGGCATTGACGATGTAAAGTTGTGCTATCTGCGCGTTTTCGTCGATGGGCGTGTCCGTGGCGTCGATGATTCGCCATGAAACAGGAAGTTGTAGTAACTTGGCTGTAAATGCCCAGATCTACACGAAATTTTACACA